GGCTGGGGGACAAGGTGGGGATGGAGAACAGGGGGGATCCGTGGGCTGGGAGGGCTTTTCCAACCCCAGGGATCCTGGGATTCTGTACTGGGTCAGACTGGTCCATACTGGGAGCAGGGATCCCGCACCCCCTGTGTCCCCCGGATCCCCCGGGCTGCCTCGGTGCTGCCATTCCGGGATCGGTCAAGAGCTGGAGCCCCGAGACTCCCCGGGCCCCCTGTACCAGTGCAAGACACGGGCGGTGGGGGGTCACCGGCTCCGGGGGTGGCACCGGGGGGGGCCGCAGGTCCTCCGGCCTGCCCGGTTCCTGCTGCGCCCCCCGGGCCGGACAGAGCCCCCCGTCGCCGGCAGTGCCCGGGGAGGTCCCGGTGGTCCCGGGGAGGGTCCCGGTGGGTTCCCAGTATTCCCGGGGGTCCCGGTGGGTTCCCGCTATTCCCGGGGGTCCCGGAGGGTTCCCGCTATTCCCGGGGGTCCCGCGCGGTGCCGGCGCGGGAGGGGGCGCTGTCTCTCCGCTGGCCGGAAGCGGAAGTGACGCACCCCTAAGCCCCCCCCAGACCCCCTCCCGCGACCCCCCGGCAGCGGAGCCGCCGCCGCAGGTACCGGGAATGGGATCGGGATGGGAACGGGAACGGGGGTGGAGACGGGGATGGAGATGGGGATTGACGGGAGGGAACGGGGGGGATGCGCGGGAGTGACACGGGCCGGCCCCGCTGCGCTGCGGGGGCGATGGGGGGGCCAGGAGCGCTGAGACCCCGCGGAGCCGGCCCGGGCGGGGGGTCCGTGCGTGCGGGGCCTTCGGGGGTCTCCCCTGGCCGGGCCGCGGGGCAGGAGCGGGGGGACCCCGGGCGGGGGGGAGCCGGGGGGTCGTGGGGTCCGTGGCCGGGGTCCCCTGCCCGCGCTGCCCCCCCGCTCCCCCCAGGCCCGATGGACGCGGAGGCGCCCCGGGGGCTGTAGAACCCCCCCAGCGGCAGGAGCGGCCGGGCCGGGCCGGGGGGTCCCACCGTGCCGGGGGTCGCGCCCGTCCCCGTGTCCTCGCCATGTCGGGGGCCCTGAGCAAGCGCAGCGACCTCGCCAACGACAACCGGTGCCCGGGGCTGAGCCTGGGGCTGTCCCCCGAGCCCCGCACCGGGCCCGGCGGGGCCCCGGCCGAGGAGCTGCCCGGCGCCGGCTGGGCGAAGGCCGGCCGGGACCAGAACCGCAACGAGCTGGAGCCGGGGCCGGGCCCGGGGGCGTCCCCGGGGGCGCTGGAGCCGGGGGTCCAGGCCCGCAACGCCCGGAACGCCGCCGGGGACCCCCGGGCGCTGCTGATCGGCGCCTCGGAGGAGGAAGAGGAGGAGGAGGATGAGGAGGAGGACGAGGAGGAGGAGGACGGGGCCGGGGTCTCCCCGCCGGCCCTGGGCGCGGAGCGGGGCCCGCGGGAGCCCCCCGGGCGCAGCGCCAGCCGCCTCTTCGGGGGGCCCGGCCCTGGCAGCGACGAAGACTCGAGCTGGGCCACGCTAAGCCAGGGCAGCTCCCCTGACGAGCCAGGTGGGCATCACGGTGACTTGTGACTGCCCCACGGCCGCCCCTGCCTGCCCCTTCCCCGTGCCCCCATGGTCCTGTCTGCCCCCACCCCTGGCTGTGTGCCCACCGCTGCCTCCCAGCCCCCGTTAGCTCCATGGCCCCCCCCTTTGCCCCTTGTCCTTGTGGAGCCCTCCTGGGGGTCCCCATGTCCCTGGGCACGGGGGCTGTGTGTGGGGCTGGGCTGACCCCTCTGACTCCCCCATGCCTCCCAGAGTCGCTGTGGCCGCGCGATGCAGGGGCACATGGGGACCTGCCCCCCGGGTGGCTGCGGGTGCAGGACACCTCAGGCACCTACTACTGGCACGTCCCCACTGGCACCACCCAGTGGGAGCCCCCGGGGGGGCCCCACGAGACCCCCTCCGATGGCAGCACCCCCACCGAGGGGCCCACCGTGAGTGGGGACTGGGGGGTGGCTGTGGGGCAGCTGAGGGATGGGATGGGTGTGGGGTCACCGTGGGGAGGCCATGGGGTGGCTGTGGAGCAGCTGTGGGGAGGCCACAGAGTGGCCATGTGGCTGCCATGGGGTGACCGTGGGGTGGCTGTGGGGCAGCCATGGGCCATGGGGTGACTGGGGGCAGTTGTGGGGCATCAGGAGGTGGCTGTGGGTGTTTGTGGTGTTGCCATGGGGCATCAGGGGTTGTGGGTCAGGAGCGGGGTGGCCGTAGTGTGCTGGGGGGTGACTGGGAGGCAACCACGGGGTGCCTATGGTGTGACTGGGGGCTGCTGTGGGGTGGGATGGCTATGGGACACAGGATGCCCATGGGGTGGCCGTGGGCTGCTGTGGGGCTGCCCCACGGTGCACCCTGACCCAAACCACCCTCCCCAGCTCTCCTGGACGAGCTTCGCCCCAGCCGAGACCTTCGGTGACGGAGACTTGTGGAAGGTGAGGGGGGGCAGTGGGGGGAAGGGGAGAGGAGGGGTCAGTGGCCCACCGAGCCCCCCCTGCCCCCCAGGACCCCACGGCCGAGGAGGAGGAGGAGGAGGAAGATGAGGAACCGGGAGTGTCAGATGCAGAGACGCCGTCGCCAGGCCCAGGATCGCCGGGAGAGGGGTGCGGGGGGTGCTGGGGGGACACGGGGGCTGTGGGGTGCAGGGGGCTGTGCCTGGGCCCTGTGGGGAGGTGGGACCTCAGGGCACAAGCAGCATGGGAGGAGGGAGATCTGGTGTGGGCTAGGAGCCAGGCTCTGGGAGCAGAGACCCAGGCGTGGGGGGTTCCAGAGTCACAGGGGACAGGGATCCAGGTGTGGGGAGTTCAGAGTCATGGGAGGCAGAGATCTAGGTGTAGGGCAGGGGGGCAGAGTATGGGGGTCAGGGGTTGTGGGGTGGAGGGACCCCAGGGTTCAGGAAGCAGTGGTTGGGTGGGGAGGGTCCCAGGGTCTTGGGGGTTGGGATTAGGGGCGGGGGGGCTCCCAGGGTTTACGTGGCCGGAGTTGGGTGTCCCAGAGTCTCTGGGTGAAGTTGCTGACCACCTCCCCTTGCAGCATGGCCCTGGGTGAGGAGGACGTGCTGAACTCCAAGGTAGGACTGATCCCTGATCCTCTAACCCACAGGGCCCCTTCCCCACCCCTGTGGGATCTGGCCCACTGTTGGGGGGCTGAGCGACCCTCTTCAGGGCTGCCCTGGGCTGTCACCCCCATGGGAGGGGCCTCGGCTGTGCCCCGCTACGAGTCCACCCTGACCCAGGACTGGAGGCTACACTGGGAGGGGGGATGGGTCTCTGCTGGGGGCTGGGGCTGCCCCATGCTTCCCCCTGCTCCTCTGTCCCCGAGCCCCACATCCCCCATGACCCCCATTGCCCCCAGGGCCTGCCGGTGCGCTCCCTGGGCTGGGTGCAGCTGCGGGAGGAGGAGCTGGGGCCCGGCCGCAGCAGCGGCACCGTCAGCGCCTGCATCCGGCAGCTCTCGGGGCCCCGCGACGGCCCCCCTGGCACCTGGGGGGAGGTGAGTGACCCCAGACCCCCCTGGCCCCCCTCACCGCCACCCCAGCACCTGGGGTCGCTGAGGGAGCGCCTGACCCTGTGCCCCCAGGCGCGGGCACTGCTGCTGCTCGAGGGCCGCACGCTGAAGCTCGTGGACCCCCGGGACCGGGCGCTGCTGCACGCGCAGCCCGTGGGCGGCATCCGCGTGTGGGGCGTGGGGCGGCACGGCAGCAGGTGGGGGCACAGGGTACCCGCGTGTGGGGCGTGGGGTGGCGTGGGGCCAGGTGGGGGCACAGGGTACCCGCGTGTGGGGCGTGGGGTGGCATGGGGCCAGGTGGGGGCACAGGGTACCCACGTGTGGGGCGTGGAGTGGCATGGGGCCAGGTGGCGGTTGCACGGGGGGCTGGTGTCTGCAGGGGGCTGGGTGCATGTGGGCTTGGGGTCCTGTGTATGTGGGGTGCAGAGATGGGGAGGGGTCTGGGCATGTGGGTGTCCATGGGGCTTGGGGGTCCCACGTGCATGGGGTGGGGGCTCTGGAGTCCCACTTATGTGGGGCTGGGGGCTTGCCATCTATGTGGGGCACAGGGATGAGGGAATCTGGGTGTGGAGGTGGGCAGGGGGCCGGGGGGCTCCATATGGGTGAGGTGTGGGGGTCTCGTGTACAGGAGACTGGGGAGTCCCACATGTGGGTAGCAGATGGGGGCCATGGGGTCTCAGCACTGAACCCCCCAGCAGGGAAGGGTGTGGAGCAGGGTCAGACCCAGTTCTGGGGGATTGTGGGGGTCCTGGGGCTTGGGAGGGATCCATGCCTCCCCTGCCCTATCTAACCCTGCTCTGTCCTGCCGCGCTGCCGGGGACACAGGGAGAGGTACGGCCCCAACCTGCCCCAGCCCCCCAGTGCCCCCAGGCCCAGCCCACGCTGGGTAGGGAGGGGGCCGGGGGGGTCCTGAGCACATTCCCCCCTTCCCCAGGGACTTCGCATACGTGGCCCGGGACCCCCTGACACAGGTGCTGAAGTGCCACGTGTTCCACTGTGAGGGGCCGGCCAGCGCCATCGCCGCTGGGCTGCACCGGGTCTGCGCCCAGGTGAGACCCCTGGGACCCCCCAACCCCCCTGGGACCTCCCTGCTGGGCTGCACCAGGTCTGTCCCCAGGTGAGACCACCCCATTTCCCCCCGGGACCTCCCCTGGCCTGTACCACGTCTATGTCCAGGTGACACCCTCAAACCCTGCTTCCCCATCCCACACTGGGTCTGTGGGTAGGTGAGACCTTCGGGGTCCCCCAGGCCCCCCCAGCCAGCCCCCAGGGTGAGCCCCTCTCCTCCTGGTGTCCCCACAGAACAACCAGGCGGTCCCTGGGGATCCTTGTGGTGTGACATCCAGGGGAGCCATGGTGTGACGTCTAGGGGGCCGTGGGTCACCACGGGGGTCCTGGGGTGCCCGTGGTGTGACACTGGGGGGGTTTGTGCCCCTTGTCCCCAGCTGACGGAGGAGCGGCGAAGCGCCCGAGCAGCGGCCAACGGGCTGGGCACAGACCACCCCCGGCTGGGGGAGCCCCCCCTGCAGGGTACGGGGCATGGGGCCGGGGGACCCCCCTGCAGGGTGTGGGAGGGGGAGGTACCTGTGAGGGAGCAGGGGAGATCTGGGGGGTACCCTGGAGGGGATTGGGGATCTGGGGGATGGTGGGGGAGAAAAGGGCTGGAGGAAGGCTGGGGAGGGGGCATGGGGGGGTCCAGGGCAGGGGGCTCATGTGTCCAGAGACTGCATGTGCTGGGGGGTGGTTGGGGAGAGGGTGGGTGTTGGGGGGTTCAGGGAGGCTTTGGGGGCTCCTGACAGTGCCCCCCTAGTGGAGCTCCCAGTCCCCGGGAGCGAGGTGGTGCAGATGGGGGGTGTTGGGGTGTGCTGGGTGAGGACTGAGGGGTGGGGGAGCTCTGGGGGGTTTTGGGGGGGCTCTGGGCAGGTCTGACGTGCCCCCCACAGTGGAGTTCCCGGCCCCCAAGAGTGAGGCGGTTCAGCGCTTCCCCGTGTGTTACCTGGGCTGTGTCCCTGTTGCCAAGCCTGTGGGTGAGTGGGGGGCTCAAGGGAGCTCCGCCCGGCCTCTGGGGGATGCTGTGGGCTGGGGGCACCCTCAGGGCTGCCCTGACCCCTCTGTGCCCCCCAGGCATGGACGTGATCAACGCGGCACTGGAGGCGGCACTGGCCCCCAGCTCGGGGGAGCCCCCCGCACCCACCCCTGTCGTGGTCAGTGTGGCCCCTGCCACCCTCACCATTGCCCACCGCCAGGTGTGTGCCCACCTGGGACCCCCACCCTGCCCTGGGGGACCCCACCCTACTTCCCCACTCTCACCAATGCCCACCACCAGGTGTGTGCCCATTTGGGACCCCCCCCTACCCTGGGGGGTTCTGTGGTGACCTCTCCCCACTCTGAGGGGCTGCAGTGACCCCCTTTCTGTCCTGGAGGGCTGTGGTGACCCCCCTCCCACTCTGGGGACCATGGTGACCCCCACCCCACTGCGATAACCCCGTCCTACTCTGGGAAGCTGCAATGACCCCTACCCACACTGGTGACCTCCCCCAGATGGTGACCCCCACCTGCACTGGTAATGCCCTCCTGCTCTGGGGGCCTCAGTGACCCCATTCCGTGTTGGGGGGCTGCAGGGACCCCTCCCCGTACCACGGGGACACAGTGTGTCCCCCCACTCCACGGGACCTTGGGGATCCCCTCCCAGCCAGGGGTGCCGTGCTGACCCCTCCGCGTGCCCCCAGACGGAGGCGGTGCTGTGCGAGTGCCGCGTGCGGTTCCTGTCCTTCATGGGGGTGGGACGCGACGTCCGCGCCTTCGCCTTCATCATGGCCAGCGCGCCCGGCACCTTCCGCTGCCACATGGTGTGGTGTGAGCCCAACGCCGCGGGGCTCAGCGAGGCGCTGCAGGCTGCCTGCGTGGTGAGTGGGACCCCCAAGCCCCCAGTTCCCTGTGCCCCCCGCTGCAGGCCACCTGCAGGGCGAGTGGGACCCCCGAGCCCCCCTTCTCCCATTCTGACCCCCCTTCCCTGCAGCTCCGCTACCAGAAGTGCCTGGACGCGCGGCCCCAGGCCTCCAGCTCCTGCCTGCCGGCCCCCCCGGCGGACTCGGTGGCGCGGCGGGTGGGCTCCTCTGTGCGCCGGGGGGTGCAGACCCTCCTGGGGACCCTCAAACCGCGGCGGGGAGGGGCACAGACCCCTTGAAGGGGGCGAGGGCATGGGGGGCGCGAAGTGGAGAGGGGGCAGGATGGCCGACCCAACACCCCAGGGCACAGAGTTCCCCGCGGTGTTGGGTCGGGGGTCCTGCCCCACCCCCACTGCCCCTGTGGTGGGTCACACCCCCCTCACCGTCCCCAATGCATGCGGCGTAACGAGGGTCTGTGTTGTACTAAATCATTAATTAATAAACCCATTCCACCAGCCCGGCTCGGCTCTGCCTTCGGCCTCATGCGGGAAGGAGGAAGAAGGGGTGAGGGTTACGTTATTCCTGGTTTGGTTCTCCCTAGGGTGTTGTGGGGTGAGGATTGGGATGAGGAAGATGAAGGGCAGTGGGGTCCATCACACCTGTATTGGCTGGGTGATGGGAACACAAGGATTGTGTGCTGATCCTGACTCCAATCCCAATCCTGGTGGATGAGGATGGGGAGGGATAGTGGGGCCCACTGTGCCTTTATTGTGCATCTGGTGAGATGCGAGGACCACGTGCCAGTACCGAACCCAGTCCTGGCATGACCATGTGCCGACCCCGCTCCCGGCCCCACTCCCAGTGTGACCATGTGCTGACTCCAACCCCGCTCCCAGTGTGACCGTGTCAGCAGAGCTGCCGCTGTCGCCAGAGCTCCTGAATGCGTGGGAAGGGCAGGGCGGGGCGCAGGGGCCGGCAGAGCGCGGGGTCGCCGGCGCGGCCGGAGCGCAGGGCACAGAGCAGGGCGGCCTTGCAGGGGCCCCCGCAGGGCTCGCGGGGAGGGTGCCCCTTGTGCAGGTGGAACCAGAAGCGCTGGAAGAGCCGCTCGTCGTCCTGCAGCCGCCGCACCAGCAGGTCCCAGTCGGCCGGGAAGGCCGCGGGCAGCCCGTAGGCCTCGCGCGCGCTGTAGAGCCGCTGCCAGCGGGGGGGCGTCCCCGGGGGGGCCGCGTTGGCCTCCGTCAGGTTCAGGATGAAGGTCTCATGGTCCAGCACTGCGTGGGAGCTCCCGGGGTAGGAACCGGCCACCTCGTACACGCGGTACCCTGCGGGGGAGGGACTGTCAGTGCCAGGGACTGCGGGGTGGGGGGACACGTGGGGGGGGTCGGGGCGCACCAGGGTTGAGGTTGATGTAGGTGGTGACACTCGGTGCCACGAAGGCGATGGAGACAGGGCGTGACAGCGTCTCCTCATCGTAGAACAGCTCAAACTCATCCAGGTGTGTGTGCCCGAAGAACTGTGCTGCGATGGTGCCCTCGAACCTGCCATTGTGGGGTGAGGGGGAGCAGCATCCAGACCCACAGCCCCTCCCCCTGGGCCCCCAACCTGAGCCAGGCCTGGCCACTCACAGACCTCTTGTCATGGCTCTGCCTGGCACAGGCAGCTTCAGGGTCCCAACCTTGGGTGCTCCAACACCATCCCCTGCCCCCCTCCCATGCTGATGCCACCCCAAGGGGGTCCAGTGTGTGGAGTGGGGGTCCAGGATACATGGGGTGGGGGTCTGGCATGTGGGGAGGGGCTTTTGGTCTTTGGTACACAGGATGGGGGTCTAGGGTGAGTGGGGAGAGGTCTGACTCATGGAGTGGAGGTCCAGGCCGTGGGGTGGGGGTCTGGTGTAGGGGTCCAGCATGTGGGGCATGAGTGTGGCTTGCAGGGCAGCGGTCTCATGTGTGGGGCGGCGTCCGGGGCCTGTGGACATGGGTCTGGTGTGCAGGGCAGGTGCCCAGCACATGGGGCTGGAGTCCAGGGTGCAGTGTGGGGGTCTGGCATGTGGGGCAGGGCACAAGGGCAGGGGTCTGGCACACAGTGTGGGGGTCAGGGCCAGGGGTCCAGGCTGGGGGTGTGTGGCACAGGGTGGGGGTCTGGGCCAGGGGTGTGTGTGGGCACTGACCTGCTGATGATGCGGTAGTAGTTCCAGCTCCAGCTGTGCAGGCAGTGGGCCGGGGGGATGTGCCCAATGATGTGCACCTGGGGGCAGGGACCCAGGGCTTGGGGGTGCCCAGGAACCCCGGGACGCCCCGATCTCCCCCCAGAATTCCCCCCTCACCTTCTCCCCATCACGCTCAGCATCTGCCAGGACCCCCATGAGCCACTGGAGCTGCCCCGCAGGGTCAGTGGCGTTGATGAGGAGCCAGAAGTTGGCCTGGGAGCAGAAGTTCATGTTGAGGGAGACGAGGCGCAGCCCAGGCCAGACCTGCGCTGTGTAGAACCCACCGGCCCTGCAGGGAAAGAGGGAGTCAGTGCTGTGCCCCCCAGCCCATGGACCCCATACTCGTCCCACAGCCCCCCAGCTACCCACCCCCTCTGCCCACAGACCCCTGCCCCCCTCAGTTGGAGGCCCCCTTGTCCTTGGCCTGCCAGCAGCTCCCTGCTCCTCAACCAGCCATGAACCCCCTCCTTGCACCTCCTCTATGCACAGACACCCCTCGACCCTGCACCATGAACCTGAGACACCCACAGCCCTCCAAGCCCCCCAAGTCCCTGCTAGCCTGGGGCCCTCATTGCCCCCCAGCCCTGAGCCCCCAGTAGCCCAGAGCCCCCCACCAGCCCCAAGCCCCCCTTACCCCTGCTAGCCCAGGCCCCCCCCATTGCTCCCTCCATTGCAGACCCCCCCCAGCCCTGTTACCCCAAACCCCATCTCCCTGATAGCCCAGAGCCCCCAGCCCTGTGCCCCCGGATCCCCGGTACCCCAGCACCCCGCCCGCCGTGCCCACCGCAGGGTGCGCAGGGCGGCGGGGGGCAGCCAGCCCTGCCAGGCCTCGGCCATGGCGTCGTAGAGCCAGGCGGCCGACTGGTTCCCACGCACGTAGGGCGGGGGGAAGGCGTT